GAACTCTTATTCTGATGTGTTCCAAGATGATATAGGGGAATTCAAGGATCAAAAGGTCACTATTGAGATCACCTCAAATGTGCCAAGATTTTATAAGCACAGGAATGTTGCTTACGCTCTTCGTCAGAAAGTTGGCGATGAACTTGAACGCCTTGAAAAACAGGGTGTTATCAAGCCAGTGCAGTATTCTGATTGGGCTGCTCCAATCGTACCAGTGGTTAAATCCAATGGCAACATACGAATTTGCGGAGACTACAAATTAACTGTCAACAAGAACGCTTGTACCAATGTTTACCCCATTCCACGGATCGAAGATCTGTTCGCATCCTTGTCTGGTGGAAAGACTTTCACGAAACTTGATTTAAGTCAAGCCTACTAACAGTTAACCCTTGACGAGGAGTCGCAAAAGCTCACGACTATAAACACTCATCGTGGCCTCTATCAGTACCAGCGCTTACCCTATGGCATATCGGCAGCTCCAGCCGTATTCCAGCGAACTATGGAGTGCTTGCTCAAAGACATTCAGCATGTCTGTGTCTACTTGGATGATATTCTTGTCACCGGGGCCTCTGAACAGGAACATTTGGAAAACATGAAGGAAGTGCTATCCAGACTTAGTAAGGCTGGTCTCAGATTGAACGCACAGAAGTGCAAATTCATGGTCGGCTCTGTAGAGTATTTGGGTCACAAAATAGATGTGCAGGGTTTGCATCCCCTTGACGAACAGGTGAAGGCTATAGTGTCGGCTCCAGCTCCACGCAAATGTTGCTGAACTTAAATCATTCCTTGGACTCATGCAGTACTATCAGCGTTTCTTGCCTAATCTCACCACTACCTACGCATTATGATCCTCAAAAGAAACTTGTATTGGCGTGTGATGCATCTCCCTATGGGGTACCGTCCTCTCACATCAGTCTGATGGTGGTGTAGAGAAACCAATAGCATTCGCATCCAGGTCCCTGTCACAAGCAGAAAAGAATTACTCTCAATTGGATCGTGAAGCTCTAGCAATTATCTTCAGAACTAAGAAGTTCCATCAGTATATCTATGGGCGTTCGTTTACTCTGTTGTCAGATCACAAACCCCTCGAGAGTATCTTCAGTCGGGACAAGGGCATTTCACAGATGGCATCGAGCAGAATTCAACGTTGGGCATTAACCCTCTCTGCATATAACTATACAATCGAGTACAGAAAAGGTACTTACTTCCCTTGCGAATGCCGACTGCATGAGTCGTCTCCCTTTACCATACACACCACCAAATCCAGCTCTACCAGGGGACACAATCCTCCTACTGGAAGCAATGGATGCTTCTCCTGTGAAATCATGGCAAATTAAACAATGGACAGACAGAGATCCAACCCTTTCCAGAGTGAGAAATTTCCTTCTTTCTGGATGGCCAAGCAGGAATCTAGAGGAATCTTTCAGTCCTTTTATGAAAAGGAAACATGAATTGAGTGTCCTTGATGGCTGTGTTTTGTGGGGCAATCGTATTGTGAGAATCCCCAACCTGAAGAATCCATGGCAAATTGAGGGACCACTACGGACCAGGGACTGTCATCAACATTGGTGTCTACGGTACAGCAGTTACAGACGCAGGTAGCAACAATGTCACAGAAAGTCTACACCAACTGTCCTACAGGCAGGCCAAGGCAGCAAGTATGTACCACACTCAGTCAGGTGGAGATCGAACATCCATACATGCCACAGACAGGACCTTTCACACTCTATTCCACTAGATTCGCTACAAACGACCAATTAGCTTTCAGAGGCAACAGCCCAGCACCAGTGAAAAACACCAAACTCACTAGTATACCAGATGTGGTGATCGTCTCACCGACTCTACAGAAACAGAAGAAGGTAAGAATATCAATCTGGCTCTACTTATGATTCCAGACAAAATGTCTACTTCTGCAAGAACATTTGTTGTCTCTTGAAACCATAGGTTGACACCAGGATGACCATGTCATGGACTATCAACATGTTCGTTGTTGCCGATCCTGGGCCTTATGTTCATACTAAAGGCCAGAGGAGTTGTTGACTATTCAGGAAAGTGAACTCCTTCAAGCCACAACAACAAGGGCAAGAAAGCGCAGTCATGCAGATACTCCACAAACGGTAGCTCAATGAAAGCTGAAACCAATATCTGCAATAAAAACTTTTAACATGTGTAATGAAGCAAATACAAATTTGTCAACAATTACTTCAATACAGAAGTACACACACCTTGCAGCAAGTCATAACATAAACAAAAATAATAATAATGCATTTACTGCTTGTTCTTGACTGTGAGAAAGAGCTGTGTGAGGTCTTGCTGAAGACAAAGTTGTTTCAACTTGCTGAGTGGCTAACCCTATCATACAGCTCCCATGTGACCACGGAAGGGGTGACATCACGGATCATCACATCACGAAAAAAGCGTCACCACGAACAATATTCAAAATGGCTACATCAAACAACAACACACCTGTGATCACCGTGGTGAATACCATCACCAGGCATTAAATATTCATACTATGGCATAAATGATAAATCATATGAAACATATGAACACACAAATCGTGTGCACAATAATTGTTCACAAAAAAACACTAGAGCCAACACGCAAAGGATTCAGTGAAATACGCTGAGACTTTAAATGGTAGGTCTTTCCTCTTTGGTTGACAGCAGTAATGTGATGATCATTGATGTCAAGGGGAGACTACTCTATTCCAGACTAAGGGAAATATCCATCTCCATTGCAGAAGAGAGTCAGCATAGTGCAAAGGACAGTGCAAAGGCACTAACAGTCTAACAGGGTATCTCATTTCTTAATGCCATTCCCATGTGGGACCCACCATTACAACAGCAACAGATTCAGGCCTTATGATTCATCTTACGAGTGTCATAAGAAATGTGGTTTTGGTAAAGGTAGAGGCGGTCAGCCAAGACTATATGGATCAACAGCACGGCATAACCAAGCACTTTTCTTAGGCAAGTAACCAAGAGGATCACCATGGCTAGAAGAGGACCCACAGAAACAGTAGGATGGTACTGTGATGTGGTTTTGATAAGGGAAGAGGGAGTCAGCCAAGACTATATGGATCAACAGCTAGGCATAACCAAGCACTATTCTTTGGCAATCAAGTAAGAGGATCATCAGGGTTAGAAGATGAACCACAGAAACAGTAGGGTGGTACTGTGGTATTAAGTGAGCTACTTACTAGAGCGGATTGAAAATACACCCAAGAATTTGAAGGCAGGGATCAGTGGGAACAGGTAGATTTTCCCGATTGCTTAACAAAAGTGTGATCGAAAATTGTTCCATGAACCAAGGGAACATATCGAACATTTTCTGTGGGGAGAAAATTCCTAAGAATAATTTTGAATTTTAAAGTTTGAATGAAGATGTTGACTCAACACGTCTACTTTCAAATCAGCTAGCTAGTACAAAGATACATAAAACATCTTTGTTTTGGGGAGATAATAAGTTGTAAGAATTCACCTGCCCATCAAAATGGATTAGTATCTGGTCCTCGGATTTATGAAACCTGTTTTATCAAGCCTGAGAAAAGAGGGTTTTGACAACACCGCAGACATTGATGATTCCCTGTGAGAGGGGGAGAGGGAATAGAAGAAATGAAGAAATCCAATCTAAAGGTACTGTTTCACCACATGGCTGTGTGAAGTTTCAGGAAGATGTTGGAACAAGATCTGGAAAAGTGTGGCAGTGGATGGACAAAATGGACGGAGCACATCAAGTTATCGTCAAGTTTGTGAGACGGGGCATAGCAAAATTTGTTCATGGCTCAAACATATAGGTTGCGGTATTCATATTTCTGTGCTGATCCCTATAAATAATGCTGATTTTGACTTGTCATGCTACACAGAGCTACAGGCTGTTTCATGATGTTTTCCTAGTAGATTCCGGATTTCGGAACATGCTGTTATAATGTACATGAATTGTAATTCCATGAAAACTACAACATAATTTGTTTCCTCAAACACGAATATGTGTACATACATTTTCAATCATGCAACTCTCTATGTACTCACTGAGTTTAAATCATTGATTAGGTATGGATTTGTGGTGGATAAAAATCTTTACCATTCTGGTTTCCAACTCAATAATTAAATATATGGTTGGATGATCTAAGACATAAGTACTCGTACTTGAAGGCAGGCGTCTTAGGAAGTAAAAGAATGATGCATTTGTCGTTAGACCATGATGCCTGCACCTCACTGCAGCATATTAAGTCCGACCTATTCAGGGACCTATTAGGAAAACACTGCAGCATATACTCAACAGCCATCTTGTTTTACACATAGGAACCAACCTGAAAGAGTCTGTGGTTACAAACGTGTATCTGCGAATGATGGACTGGTCTGGGATGTACATAAGTACTGGTTATTACATAAGAGCACTTTGGAGGCAAATTGGTATCCATACTTATTTGCATCAAAATTGGGAATTTTATTTAAGGTCTTATTTTCTTAAGTTCAGAGGCATTTTAACATTGTATTTTAATGCAATATTTAACTAAGCAATAACATCTCTTTGTATTTACTGGTCCTGTTATCAGTGAAATACAATACAGGTTATCTACAAAGCCATTAAATTAGTTATTAGTTATAAATATGTAACCATGTATTGGGAAGTATTTAATTCTGATATGGGAATTTTTTATTGACATTTGCTGCAGACATGGGGTCGAATATCGACCTCTGAGCAGGTCCAGATAAATCCCTGCTTTATGCTTAAATGTAAAAATTCCCAAATTGGCATTACACACGTCCCAATCCATGTCATATAGTAATAACTAATGTTACGGTGTTGTAGACGTTATTTACAACTTGGAGCAAAATAATGAATTTTTCCCCAAAATTTCCTGCCATGGGCATTAACTTCTTTGATAGACATTTAGAAGTTGGAGTACTAAGTAAGGATAAGAATTTATGGATGAACAACTTCTTTATTACAATTAAGAGCGATGTTTCGGTGTAGGTTCTAACACCGTACCATTAGTGCTTGATAACGGTGTTGGAACCTACACCGAAACATCGCTCTTAATTGTAATAAAGAAGTTGTTTATCCATAAATTCTTATCTTTACATGGGCATTTAGTTTAGAATCGTGGATAAATACTTGCTAAGGGAAGCAACTCTGCACCCTGAACTGGGGCACCTTATACGACTGGGCCATCTGTGCCCTCATAATAATTTATAAGTATTCAATCAAGTATATGCACACTTATTCTTCTGTACGTTTGGAGAATAGCTGCACAATATTGGTCAATAAAGGACTAAATACAAAAGCATGGTTACCATACCTCAGATACACTGCATCACGATATAGGAATGTATCATACAGGGTTAAAGGTACGGTAACAATAATAATGGATAATAATTCACAACTGGACAGTCTGCCTTTTTAAAAAAAACCAAAACAACCATATTAATCTGATACACTTGTGTTCATAGCAATAGCAGGATCAATATCAAGCAATCACACAAAATAGCCATTCACCATAAATATCACCCCAAGACAAAAACACAGTTCTTGGTAAATAAACTAAATCCTGTAAAAGAAAAGATGTAAAAAATATGCCCAAACTTAAGACAATGCTATGAATAGCCCCAAAAATATGTTGGTTTCTTGTTCACTTTTCTTTCTCGTGCGACAAAGGCAGTGAATGAGGATACACAGTTTCCAATAAAATGGTCAGCCATACCTAAAATGGCAAGGTCAACTTGAGGTAGCCATGGGTCAAGGTGAAATATCTGCACCTGTAAATATAAAAGAACTCATGTAACCATGGTCACCATGCTGATTGAGAGTGATCTAGCTGGTTTCGACTGACATCTGATTGATAAAAAGAACACCTGTTCAGTAAATAGTGAAAAGCTTTTAACAGTATTCCATATATATGGCGGGATGTGGGAGGATATCCCGAAGTGATGCAGGTCTCAGATGTTTACCATTTCGGTGAAACCCATGAGCACGGGTATGGTGCTGACAAACCTAGAAACATAATCGGGCGAACCGGGATTCAACCCACAATCATAGGTTTCTGGCGTGCCCAAGGGACGCAACTCTGCACAGCGAATCGCTGCGCCTTAGACGACTGGGCCACCCGTGCCCCCTGTTCAGTAAATAATTTAGATAAGCATCTACATGATCTATGGGCAGGTCTTGGAACCAGTCATGTTATACTTCCCACATACTTCACAAACGTTATACTTCCCCAATATCATGGAGGCCTGTTAATAATCGAGTCAGGACCAGACAAACCACTGACTGATATTATGAGCAATGTCCGATGTATGTGGATTATGACATGCAACCAACCAAGACATCCGATCCATTCATTGGAGTTGAGGTGAAATAGGGTGTAACGTCACAATAGGTTATTGCACTAATCATAGCGCTAGCCCACAGAGTACCACACTCAGACACAATATATAGACTCCAAGCCGACCAGTTCTTGTTTTATCTCCTCAATGCCAAGAGCAAGGTAGGGTACAACAACAAGTACAATCTTTTAACATCTTTAGGTGTGCTGCAGCCCAAGGGATCGAACCAACAACCTTTAACGCTCCGGCAGACGCTACTTCCACTAGACCACCGAAGGGTCTTTTTTCAAGATGCAACATACATAACAATACACCATAAAACATGATTTGACTCAATAACAGAAAAGACAATATGTCATCATTATCAGTTTGTAGGCCATCTTACAAAGTCTGATGTGCAGATAATTGATTCAAACCCATCAGTGGCTCCTGGGACTCCTAAGGGACACGACTCAACACAGTCAACCATACAATCCTTTTGTGCAAGTGAAACATACCCTAAAGATGAAAATTTCAGTACAAAAGCACAGAATATATTACTCAAAAGAAGCTAAAGAACACCAAATGACTACAGTTAATCAACTACAGTCGTATGAAAATTTAGGCGTTCTCTAACTTGTTTTAAGTAGTAGTCAAGTCTATGGGAAGTATACCTGAAGGTCTTTCAAGTGCTCCCGCAACTCCGGCAGCATGGGGTTTCTATCAGTTGCCACATAGACAACTCTGGCCTTGGATGACACAACAACCTCCCTGGTTAATCTGTGGAGAGCAACGCTTCATGTACACCACTCAACTTTTGATAGGGATAATCAGGTATGTCAGTCTATTTAAATATACTAAAAGAAACTATAAATTGCGGTCTTGCAGATTTTCAGATACATTTATTATATACTTCAGTGTGAAAATCTGATATTTCACTGCATGAACATAACACTTTGACGGAACTATTGTCATACAAGAGTTAACGCCCCATAAATTGTCTCCCTTTATCGTAAGTGTCAAGCCCGTAAACAAACTGTTGACGTCCTATTTACGTCAGTTCCACCATGACAAGGCAAAATAATGACAGATGGCCATTTATTGAGTTAATATCACTTTTTGTCGTTTGTTATTCTCTTGAAAATGTTTCGTTATAAACTGTTAATTTCTCATTTAACTCGTCAATGGAGACTGTTCGTTTTGAAAAGCGCCATTTTTGTTACTTAACCAGTGTGTATTCTTTCGTTTCGGACTCCTAGTTTTCAAGAATATTTTTTGTTAAAGTTGATATTGAATATAATCATACCGTAATGTATGACAAAGAATTTTCGTGACCCAAATAAATTTTGACACTTTTGTTTACATTTTTTCAGATTTTGCAAACACGAAACTGCTTATAGTCTCAAATACAAGGGATAAACCGTCCCTGTGTGTTAGGTAGGGAGAATTTACATTTCAAGGTTTTACATTTGTAATGAAGTAATTAATTTTCCGGGAGAAAACTACACAAAAACTATATAATAAATAGGATATTTTATGTGTCTCGTGAAATATCATGTTTCTCTCATCTCGTGACTCGTGAAAATATCTCCTTACCCCCTGTCACTTGATGTGAGAAACACTCGACACATGAAATATCCTCTATATATTCTGCATGTTATGTGACACAGGCTCTGAAATATTTTCAATTTTGGAATGATGAATGAACAACAAGGCTTGAAGTCAGGGCATGGTTACTGGCATGCTGATGCCAAACACTGAATCCACACACACCATACATGATCATACAGCACAAAAATTCAAAGACTCTTATGTTCTGTCTTGATCACAATGCTGAACATCAAGCGAGGGGTACCAGCTGACTTATCCTGCCTAGAATGCTCATGGTTTTCATTGTTTGTTTGTTGTTTAATGCTGCACTCAGCACTATTCCAGCTATATGACGGTGGTCTGTAAATAAGCAATTCTGGACCAGACAAACCAGCGATTGACATAATGAGAATGAGAAAAAATGTCTACACAATTGTGGTATGATAATCATCAACCAACTTAGTCAACCTGACCATCCAATCCACCTAAGTCGTCCCTTACGACAAGAGTGAGTGAGTTGGGTTTAACACCGCTTTTAACAGTAGTCCAGTTACATCCCAGCGTGTCAGCTTAATGTGGGAGGAAAGCCCCAAGTGATGCAGGTGTCAGACGTTTACCACTTTGGTGAAACCCACGAGCATGGGTATGGTGCTGACATAATCGGGGCGAACCGGGATTCGAACCCACAATCATAGGTTTCTGGCGTGCCCAAAGGATGCAACTCTGCACAGCGAATCGCGGCGCCTTAGACGACTGGGCCCTCTGTGTCCCCAGATTGACAGACGGACAATGCAACATACAAAGAAAAGAACGGACAGGAAGAGGCACAAGTACAGGTGGCATGGAGTGATTCAGAATCTGCCAACCCCCACGACAAGAATGCGAATGGTGCAGAGGGAATGGTGAAGATGTAAATTAATAGAAGACTTCAATACCTTAGAACTTCTTCAGCTGGCGGCAGACACATCTTCGTGGTGACCTTTCCTTTTCCGGTGTACCCCAAACACTGTGGTGAGGCCATGAAGGCTGACCGCCCCTCAGCATGTACACATGCATTCTCCTGCAATCAGTCAGTTGGTTGGTTGGTTCATGCCGCACTCAGGTAGAGCTTATTTTGAGCCCACCTTGTATCAATAACTTGTACATTTTGAAAAACACATGCAATAATAATTAATCTGGCAGTCCAGTGGTGAGTGAGTGAGTGAGTGAGTGAGTATGGTTTTACACCGCTTTTTAGCAATATCCAGCAATATCACGGCGGGGGACACCAGAAATGGGCTTCACACATTGTACCAATGTCGGGAATCGAACCCGGGTCTTCGGCGTGACGAGCGAACGCTTTAACCACTAGGCTACCTGACCGCCCCGGCAGTCCAGTGGTAGCAATTAACATGAACCACTTAGGGACCGACCATTTGATAGTATGGGGGAGGGCACCTGGCATGTTATCGGTCCCTTACTAGCCCAGAAAGTGATAATATATTACAACCTAACAAGCCTGAAATATTGTAAAAGGTCTCAGGGTGTTCCTGACATTACACAAGCTTACTCAGGCTAGGCTGGTGTGAATTTCTGCCACTGTTTTAAAGCACATTTAAACTCACCCAATCTTGCCCATTTCTCATATGTAAACCAACATAAATGTCGCCAGGAAAATTCTTGTTGATATAATCCAAGGCTTCTAGTTCCATCTTCTCTGACCACTGAAGGTATTTATGTAGATGCACATGCTCCTCTTTGACAGGGAAGGAAGCTGGGGCTCCCTTGAAGGACATCACTGGGTACTTGCTGGCTGGATACCTACAGGGAAAGGAGAATATCACTACTTGTTACAGAATCTAGCTATCTGAATGGCTGGCCGGCCGGCCTGTATCGATATCTTCATGATCTATCACCCTTGTTACAGAATCTAGCTATCTGATTGGCTTGCCATCCTGGATTGATAGCTTCATGATCTATCACCACTTGTTAAAGAAACTAGCTATCTGACTGGCTTAAATATTCTATGAGACCTAGTACAATATTCCATGTCAGTATTATCCTGATCCAACACTGACCTACGTGTCCATGTCAGTATTATCCGGATCCAACATTGACCTACGTGTCCATGTCAGTATTATCCGGATCCAACATTGACCTACGTGTCCATGTCAGTATTATCCGGATCCAACATTGACCTACGTGTCCATGTCAGTATTATCCGGATCCAACACTGACCTACGTGTCCATGTCAGTATTATCCGGATCCAACACTGACCTACGTGTCCATGTCAGTATTATCCGGATCCAACACTGACCTACGTGTCCATGTCAGTATTATCCGGATCCAACATTGACCTACGTGTCCATGTCAGTATTATCCGGATCCAACATTGACCTACGTGTCCATGTCAGTATTATCCGGATCCAACATTGACCTACGTGTCCATGTCAGTATTATCCGGATCCAACACTGACCTACGTGTCCATGTCAGTATTATCCTGATCCAACACTGACCTACGTGTCCATGTCAGTATTATCCGGATCCAACACTGACCTATGTGTCCATGTCATTATTATCCGGATCCAACACTGACCTACTGATGCAGCATTACACTGACCTGTCAATCCAGATCTGTGTGTAGTCGTAGCCCATGTTGTAGATCACATCATCAACGAAGTCCACATTCAGTCCATCCCAAAAGGGCCCGAATGGATTCCCTGAAAAAGAAACGATTGGGAGATTAACATTTTGATTTGCCTGTGTTATTCTGTTTGTTTGTTGTTTAAAGCCACATTCAGCTGTATTCCAGCTATATGATGGCAGTCTGTAAATAATCAAGTCTGGACAAGACGATCCAGTGATTGACATATTGAGCATCGATCCATGCAATTGGGATACGATGACATGCATCAACCAAGACAGTGAGTCTTACCACACGATCCCGTTAGTCGCCTCTTACGACAAGCATAGTCAGAAAGCACGGGTTGCTGAAGACCTATCCTAAGCCCGGATCTTCACGGGTCTGGATATATAGATAACAACAGTACACATACGTGCTACATAATTCATCTACATTTTCAAAAACAGGCCTTTTTCGCTTTTTTAGCCACACTTCTGTATTTGATCATGTGCGAAGTTCAAAACATCCACCGGTAAGGATGAACAATAGCTATCTGTAAGCTAATTGAACTTGCAAGCATTGGTTGCTGAAGACTTATTCTATCCCGAATCATCACGGGTGGTGTTATTCTGAATTCAATGTTCATAATGACCCATAATTTAGGCCCATGCTCTGAACACTCATTTGCACTATGACATCTGTGAGGCACCATGACAGCAGATTGTTTTAAGAATCCTGAACTCAGTTTAGAGTCGTGTGCACTGTTTCCATTCAGTTACAAATTTACAGGTTCACTGGACCGGCATCACTTAAAATTACTGAGACTTTCCATATTGTGCCAATCCCATCAATTAACTATCATGTGATTCATATCAAGATCCTCAACCAATGGTCAAGTTTGGCAAAATATAGACTAGACTAGAAGATATTGTAACAAATGTTATATTTGGGATAACACTTTCTGAGTAAAGTACAGATTCTTGTACTTTTTTTGGTTGAGTCCCATCCAGGATTTGAACCCACACTGCGAGAGTGGGGCACCGAATCGCCAGCAAACAAAGTCAGCAACTGACACCGCTCCCATGGCTGAAAGCTATGAATACACAATGCCATTTTGAAAGTGGTCAAATGTAACAAATGTTTGCATCTGTACTTCACTAAGAAAGTGTTATACCAATGTAACATTTGTACATTTGACCACTTTCAAAATGGCATTGTGTATTCATGCTTAGACATTGGTTTTAGACAGTATTTTATCATATATGTAAATAAGATTTTTTGTCAAGATTTCTATTTCAAGATAACAAGAGGCCCACAGTGCCTGTATCACTCACCTGGATATTTACGCAATCATGACAAAATATACATTTGCATTGTACATGTATATAATACTGCAAATATTTCATAATTTTGACTCTGTCAGCATTTAAAAGAGGTGGATGGCAAATCTGACAGCATGAACGTGTACTTCTCTAGATACAAATGTTGCATAGAGATCTGAACCGTTTCCATGATCGAGGATCTAAATTTCCAGAGGCAAAGCTGGGCCCCAGGGCTAATCCTATTGGAATAAATGTATTATTCTCTTCATAACAAACAAATGTATAGAATGTATCTGTTTATTATAGGGTGGGGATGATATCGGTTTGCATGTTATGGTCAAGATTCTAACTCTTTTGGGAGTGCCGGACAGATGAACAGAAGGGCCAGTCCTGGTAGCATATGTGCATTCCTCTCATTATACTCAGCAATTGTACATATGGTTATACGGTGGGGATCTTAACTGTGTCCAACTTATTAACTTTTTGGCCCTGCCCCTCAGCCCCTTGGGGGGTCTGCCCCTCCATTTATACAATTTTGAATCCTCACCACCACCAAATATGGTTGATATCTATCTCTTATTTCTGGAGAAGAAGTTGTTTAAAGCAATAATATCTCTAATGGGCCCCACCCCTCAGTCCCCCGGGGGGTTAGCGCTACCATTTGTAAAGATTTTAATCCCCACCACCTAGGGATGCTTCCAGTCAAATTTCGTTAATTTACAATTAGTGGTTCCGAAGAAAAAGTCGTTTGAAATAATTTGTTGACATATGGACGATGGACGCCATGGTATGGCATAAGCATGGATCTTCACGTGTCTAGACTGACGTGAAAGCAGTGACTATTGACATGAATATTCTGAGGGACTGACTAAGGCTTTATTCTGCTTTTAGCATGTTGAGCAATGTTCAAGCATAAAATGAGCTTCAGCATGACGAGTGAATGCTTTTATCACAAGGCTACCTTACTGCCCCATGAATAATCAGGGGGACAGCACACTTTTCTCACCTTCCTTCATCTTGCAGTCCCGGTCCGTGTCACTGGACAGCATCCAACACCAGCCCTGCCTCTGCTCCGGTGGCCAGTGGGTCGGAGCTAAGTCGGTCATGAAGTCCTCGGCCAGTATAACGCGATGATATTCTTCCAAAGGACCCAATTGGAACCATTCATCAAATGGGATGTTTTTCTGAAAACAAGATGCAAGTATTACAACATTGTAGTATTCAACAGGCAGGATTGAACCTGATACACTTGATTGAGTTAAAATTTAACGTCGAATCGGCATTATTTCAGCCATATAGCAACGAGAACAAGTTGATATATATACCATTTAGTCATGAATACAAAGTTATACTTAAAGTGAGTGAGTACGGTTTTACGCCGCTTTTAGTAATATTCCAGCATTATCACAGTGGGGAACACCAGAAATGAGTTATATTTAAAGACAAATTTATCAAACATATTTGCGCATAACAATATAATTAGAACTGTTTAAAACACAGGCTATAGGCCACCAGTAGCCAAAGCTTGGCCACCTCGCTGGGTAACATGGGGATACAGAGCCTCAAACTTCATGCATGATGCCCAAGCAAGCACATGATTCAAGACAGATCAGAAGATGCCAATAAAAGTCAATATTACAATGCATTTTTTTAATGCACCCATTAGCGCTAGCAGACAAAGCTTTGGTGGTAAGAGATGTTTTAGCACAGTTAGTTGTGCTGGATTCAATAGATTTGTCAGTCGAAACTTCGCTAGTAGATTCTAAACAGGCCCAACACAATCTCTCCTCAGCTGTTCGCTTACCTACCCAGTTTCTTGCAGCCAGCATAGTTATGGAGTAATGTGTCATCACTGCACCTAAATATGCACCGAGAGCAGACCTACTTAGTGCACCAAATGTCACAACAATATAGCGAAATAGCAAAGCCTATTCCTTGTACGGAGTAATGTTTTTGACATGCTTTGTGATCAGTGTTCCCATTTACTGGTTATGACCAGTTGTTTACCGGAATTAGTCTGGGACCGATAATTCTTGTGACCGCCAGTTCCTGTGGACTGACAAAGGTGGTATCTTGTAAATCTTTGTTGTTGAACAAAACATTGATTATGGTCAATAAATTATTATTATTTTTAACATAGTCAGCATGTCTGTTATCATCTGGTCGTTCTCTATGTATTTTCAGTGCAAGGAAATTATAAGTCGCTTTGCTTGGAGGTTAAATATCTATTTGTAGTGACTTAGTCTTGAACCAAAGTGAAATATTCAGAGTTGAGTGAGTATGGTTTTTTTACGCCGCTTTTAGCAATATTCCAGCAATATCACGGCGGGGGACACCAGAAATGGGCTTCACACATTGTACCCATGTCGGGAATCGAACCCGGGTCTTCGGCGTGACGAGCCAACGCTTTAACCACTAGGCTACCCGACCGCCCGAAATATTCAGAAATATATTATGTCAAATACAGTATGTATACACAAGCATTAGGTTTTCTTTCCACTCAGGACGTTTGGAGAAGAGGGCTGTGATGATGAAATAACAAAGACCCATAACTGCTCGTGTTGTGCTGTAGGTACTATGAATACACTAAATTTGTTTCTGCATCCATTCTCTGTATTTGTGCATACTGGAGACACATATGTGGTCACATAAAACCCTGGGGATATTAAGACAATATAAGGTACTGCTGACCTACTTGGAATCCCTATCAAATAAATTTCCATGTTCTACAAGGACTTACATATGTCCTCCATGGTGGCAACACAAGGGTCCTGTCCAAGCTCTTTGCAAACGCCAGTGCACCAAGGAAGTGATCCGCCTGATTACCAAATCTACCTGCACAAAACAAAAGTAAGTGCTGAGTGCACGGGGAGTGACTCAATACAGAGCACATGAGCAAATGAGCACTTTGTACTTATCGTATACATGGTGGAACAAGCCAATTAAACAATGTTTTACAAATTGCAATGCCATGTCACATTCTTTATTGTCAATGTAGTCCCCGAGCAGTTTAGTGTCACTTTTGTGCACTTACATTCTTTAGTGCACATTCTTCTTTCTTTACATATGAAGTCTTTTGTTTGCAAATTGATCATTGGTATTGTTTTGTTTTTGTATTTTGAATTCATTATTTGTATGTAAATAATGACCTTTATTTGTAACATTCATTCTTTATCATGCTTTATTCTAACATTTGATTATTTAAAGCATACTTTTGTGCTTTATTTCAACTTTGCATTTTTTTTTATCAGATGGCTGCCATACAGACGTCTTGTCCATATGACCAAAGAGGTTACTTAAATTCTGGTTGCATTCATGTTAAATTTGACTTCACTGTCTCCTGATGGGTGGGTCCCATAAGCAGTAAAATCTAGTGTATTTTTTCATTAAGCAGTAATTTTTCTTCCTTTTCAATAAAATCGTCGCGAAAAATTCCTAAATCGGCCATAGAGGGACATGGGACTTTTAATTCTACTTTCGTTTCATCCTGACTATTCATGTCTTTAATACCTGGTAAAATCTCAAATTGCTAAACATTCTAGACTGGTCCCCTGCGTCAGTTGCACAGCCTGCTTTCTGTGGTGAAGCACTTGGTTCTTGAAGACAGACTGTTTTTGACCATTTTAATCATTTTACGATAAGCAGTAAATTATTTATTTACGTTAAGCAGTTATTTTTTGGTATTTTACGATAAGCATATACGATAAAAAAAGATGAATTTTACGTTTACGATAGTGTTTGAAGGGTGTTTTACGTTAAGCATTAAAACCCATCACGACCCTCTCTCATCCCTTGGACCCCCTTTAGTAGGTATTACCAATTCCAAAAAAGAGGGAGTCTCAGCCGTGTAAATGCAAATACTTCCACTGGTAAAATCCTGAATTTCCTAAAATGCATTTGCCTTCCATGTGAAACTGAACTTTGACAAAAATGAAACTTTGAAACTTCCTGCATCCTTGGCTCATCAGCAGTTGAAACTTACCCATGCAGGGGCAGTACAAAATGTATCCCCTCGGATCCCATTTTATATCAGCTGTCATTCCTTGCAGAAGACTCATTATAACACAGAAATATTTAGTGAAGACATGGCATTTTAGTCTTATATTCATTATATACCGAAGAGTGGTGTAACCAGTTTTGTTTGTGAACAGTCACCCGACATGTGAACCAACTTTTTCTTTACTTTCGACACTTCCGGTTTTCTAAAAGCCGGACAAATCGGCGACGTCTTGATATGTCTACAAGTCAGAGAAGCATTCGTAAATGATTTTTGTTTCTTAGATTGAAATATATATATATCACCGGGCCCAAGAGTGAGTGAGTGAGTATGGTTTTACGCCACTTTTAGCAATATTCCAGCAATATCACGGCGGGGGACACCAGAAATGGGCTTCACACATTGTACCCATGTCGGGAATCGAACCCGGGTCTTCGGCGTGACGATCAAACGCTTTAACCACTAGGCTACCCGACCGCCCCCGCCGGGCCCAAGAAACTACACACCTATGCTTAAACATTCTAAAACAAGACATGGTTATTCTAAGGTGATGTGTTTAATACGGTATCATTGGCGATAAAACATGCATCATATCACAACAGATGACCCGGACAAGACTCGATTAGTTACAGATCGCTGTTATATAGCTGTAATATTGAGGAGTGCGGCGTAAAACAAGAAACAATTGTTACACATCTTGCATACACCCATGCATTTGCGAGTTACAAATAACATCGGACAATGTGGGGTGTTGTCAGGTAAGTCCATCAAAATATAATCGCTAATACATTTTAGCTAATACACTGTTATGTCACTGCATTTTTTATTAAACCTTTTAATCCCAAATTCCGCTTTTGAATTGCTTGATTAAAAAACCTACAAATTCGGAGGCATATAATTGTTTATGTAAGGCTTGCGATCATTTATCGCCAGGAACAAGTTCTCATTGTTTAATCAATAACTTACAGCGTGCACAACTCCCCCTTTTTTTCATACTAAACGTTAATACATGCAACCATAACGATGGTTTCACATATTAAAAGCACGAACAGGATAACAATACGGTAAATATCTCATATTGAATACATAACAAACTGTATGGACCACAATTAAAACATGTAATTCGAATGCATTGTGACATATTCATATATAGTTGCCACGTGACATACCGAGTTTGTTTGGGATGTTTTAAATTCAAATGCCCTTTTTCCATAACTTGTCCTTGATACATTTTGTTTTTATTAAAAAAACAGTTATTTCTTATAAGTATGGTCGGTCGGGTAAAAAGAGAAAAGATACATGAAAACACCAAATGGCAAACCGCTGCAAAGTTGTACGAGCACTTAATGGCAATGAGTAAGGTAATCTGTAATATTGAGCTATTTGGCCATTTAGTTTGGATAAATTTACATACCGTGCACACCCCTTTTTGCGGAAAAAAATGTTATACTTCTTACTCATTTTATTTTAATAATTTGTAGTATTTTGACAAACATCAGAGCAATCTGTACACTTTGGTCCATCAACAACGTACTTAAACATTGGAATCGCTATTGTGTGCATTTCAAAATGTCAATCTTCATCATAATTATCTACGCATGTCAACCTATCAACAGGTCAAGTGTGCCTCTATCAACTGTGTTATCACCGACTTTGATTAGTGCACACTGTACGCAACAACCAACCACTTCACTCGTACGAAAGGGAGCCATGCATCTGTAGCGTCACACTGGCCTGAGCAATGCTTCTCAGAAAGAGTTGGGTTCTGGCGATCCTGCTTACAGGAACACTGGCCGGTAGGTTGTTCAGTTCTCATTCCTCAGTACAAGACTTAGTACATTTGTATACAGCGACAACTCGCAGACCCAAGTCCTGGGCTAATGGACGGTATATCGAGTTATCCATAATATTGGACAGTGGCATTATGATATTGACATGTACAGGGGAAATAATAATCTTACCCGATATATTGAGTAAGGGGATTTCAATTAAACGAAGTTCGAGTCAAAGAGGTGTCGTTGTATGTAGAAATGTAGATCTATCTTGCAAAAGGTTTTAAATAAGTTATACCCAAAATTTACGGCCGATTAAAAACGCTATCATCAGGCATTTTATACGAAATACCGTACCGGTTAGCGTAATAGTCAGGACCTGGCAAGGTACATATATAGATATGTACGAATGTATATATATGTGTAGGAGATCAATGTATATACAGTAAACTACGGTTATAACGAACTCAAATGGACCACTAATTTAAGTTCGTTATAACCGTAGTTCGTTATAAGCATATATACAACATCTATACAGCAAATTGCCGGGACCAAAAATAAAGTTCGTTATATCCGTCAGTTCGTTATAAGCGTGTTCGTTATAAACTTATTTTACTGTATGTGTATATACCAGTACACTCTTCAAAAAAAAGAAACGCACAGGTAGTATGTTGTTCATTGAACCTGACTTCACAAATCCGGTAATATATCAATTGGATATATGTTATTGGAAAATGTTGGTGGCCTGATATTCAACAAACGGTGCGTCAAAACGCAGCCATTGTCGATTTGCAATGTCTTAAACGGCATTGTTTCACACTTGATGTCATGGAGGAAAACAGTGAAGCAAAATACACGTGCAAGTTTAGCATTCGTAATCCGTGGTAGTGGCTATAAAAAGGCAAGCATAAGCCAATAATTTGTCATTCAATTGTCAACATTTTTCAAGTTCGAAAATGCCGAGACTCAGCGCTGCCGATCGGAACTTCGTCATAGGACGTATCCAAAGAGGGGAATCGCAGTTTTCTGTTGCACGCGACTTCAACGTCAACCACAGCACCAATTGCCGCCTTTGTGATCGATACACACAGTTCAATTCCACTGCAGACCGTCCGAGAATGCCGACCAAGAGTTACCACCCATGTACAGGATCGCTACATTCGCCTGTTCCACCTACGTCATCGCAATGTCACAGCTATGGAGACTGCAGGACGCATCCCTGGTTTGAGGAGGATATCGGACCAGCCAGTCAGGAACCATCTTCGCGAGGCTGGAATCCGACCCAAAAGACAAGTTATCGTCTATGTTTTACAACAGATCCATCGACAGCGACGCTTGCGTTGGTGGCATACTTTCCTAAAGCCTTGGCATTTGAGAAACTGGAGAGTGTGGTTTAGCGATGAATCAGGATTTCTTCTTCACCGGCGAGATGGAAGACATCGTGTTTATCGTCGTCGAAAGGAGCGTTTTGCCCCACATTGTGTACGTGAATTCGAATTTCGGGGGCGATAGTGTCATGGTGTGGGGGGCCATATCCTACTCCACGAGAGCTGACTTGGTTGTGGTTCAGCGAAAGTTGACAGGAAAATCGCTACATGAATAACATTTTTCAACCTCACCTTCTTCCAATCGTTGACCGCCAGAGGGAGCTGTTTCAACAGGACAACGCTCCACCGCACACATCTCGTGTAACGGTAGACTACCATCATAATGCCAACATCAACGATTGCCCTGGCCATCGAGATCTCAACCCAATCGACCACCTCTGAGATGAACTCGATCGACGTGTACGTCAACGTCAGAACACGCCACAGACACTCCCATAACTGGCCAACGCGTTACAAGCAGAATGGGGCAGAATTCCGCAGGACAGAATTCGTACTCCAGTCAGTGCCAAGGAGAAGCAGAGCCGTGATTGCTGCCCGGGGCAGTCACACGACATACTGAGTTCAACGCGACATTGTGGCCTTATGTGACATGACAAAATTTCATATTTTGTCTATGATATTAAATTAAATATATTTATTAGGTACAATAAATCTACTAAAAATCTACCTGTGCTGATGACGTGGGATAACGTCGCGGTCAAGATTACTGCACTTTTGCAGCGATGTGCATGAACGCGTGCGTGCGTGCGTGCGTGCGTGCGTGTGTGTTTGTGTGTGTGTGTGTGTGTGTGTCTGCCTGTCTGCCTGTCTGTCTGCTTGTACTAGTCCGAACTAATGCCGAATGTTTTAGTGCTACTCCACTGGGAAAGCATACCGCAGTTTAACATGAATACCCGACTCAGACGAAGTATACTGAATCCACAGCGGACCAGTCCTTGTTTAAGCCCCTCAACGCTGAGCGCCAGGCAGCGTAACAACAAATACCATCTATTACTGTCTTTTGGTATGACACGGCCGGGGACCGAACCCAGGAACTTCCGCTCTTCGGAAAGACGCTCTGTCCACTAGATCACGGAGGCGGACTCAATCCTATCATACAGATTTTTATTTCGTTTTACAAATGATTAGTTTATTTGTTTGTTTGTTGTGTTTAACGCCTACGGCGGTCTGTAAATAATCGAGTCTTGACCAGACAATCCATTGATTGCATCAATCAAGTCAGAAAGCCTGATCAACCGATCCCGTTAGTCGCCTCCTACGACAAGAATAGTCACCTTTTATGGCAAGCATTGGTTTCTGAATAACTATTCTAACCCCGGATGTTCACGGGTTTCAAACGATTAGAAATCGTCTACATGCAGCCCATCTCCATGCTCGACGGTCACGTCTTGTGCCGCCCCTCACAAACTGGGAGACTCGCGAAGATCCGGGTTGGAATAGGTCTTCAGCATCCCATATCATCGTATCCCAATTGCGTGATGTCAATCACTGGATTGTCTGGTCCAGACTCGATTGTTTACAGACCGCCGTCATATAGCTGGAATATTGCTGAGTGCGGCGTTAAACAACAAACCAAACAAAAAAAACTGGGGTAATCGTCGCTGGTCACGTGTCATGTTGTTACATGAGTCTCGATTCACTTTCGAGCACTTTCGAGACAATATACTGACACCTTTGTTGTCCCGTTTGCAAGGCGTTTGGGGCGACGTTTTGTCTTTCAGGACGACAACATCCGTTGTCACCGTGCATGAATCGACAATGCTTCCCAGCTGCTTAAAGCAGCACAACCTCCATAGAATACTATGGCCAGCAATGACCCCAGACCTGACCCCCAGTGAACACGTCTTGGACATGATAGGGAAACGTGTGCGTTAACGTCACAGGCCGCCGACCATGTTAGTCGAACTTGGCCAGGCGCTGCAAGAAGAGTGGGCCAGACTCTCTCAAATTGCCATTGCGTGACTCATATGCAGTATGTCTCGTCGAGTGAATGAATGTTTGACATATCGTGGCGGCAGTAC